CCATTGATGTCAATAGGAGTATTAATTTACTACTGATAATTATTCTTACTTGAAGACTGAAAAAAGACCATCTTAGAGTGAGTTTTTTTGTTTTTAAAGGGAATTGAAGTGCCACATCTCATTAAAACACCTAAGTTTAGAATTTTAAAAATCCATGCCTTAAGCATTAACTTTTGATTTTATTCACCATTTACTACAGCATTTTTTCATTCCTCTTGTCCAACATTTATGAAAGCCTAACTAAAGTAAACAGTATCTAGACTTACGTTAAACCCGCTCCCATGAAAATTGCTGTGACCATTAGCTGTATGCATTCAAACCAATTTCCAGCTATCTATACAGACTGACTGAAAGTCTCTTTTATACAGGTAATTTTCATTTTAAAACACTATGCTAGAAGTATATATGTTGCGTAATAAAACATTTTTACCCTGTTATTGCCAGCAAAAATATCGGGAAGAAACAGCAATAGCTTTCAATGTAAAAATAAACACTGAATATAATAAGATGTACTTCATTGTCTTTTCCTGTCTATAATTCTACAACAGAAAGGATTTTTCTGTGCGTGGTTCTGAACTTTCATCTTCTAAATGAAAACAAATAAGTAAAGTAATATTTTAATTTTTTTTTTTAATGTGTAAGGAATACAGCACCAAATTGCGCTGAGATTGTGATAAAAGCAAACTAGGTTCATCGGTACCTCGGAAAGACGGTGTTTCAGGCTACTGATAAATAGAAGGGAATGTGCCTTTAGGAAGGACTTTTCTGCCCCATGGCTATCCCAGGCTTAACATCTGAAAGCATTACCTATCAGAAATTGGCAATTTCTTTGCTATCAAGCAATCTCAGGCAACCTGAGCACATTCAGTAAAGCTGCTGTGTCTTTCTGCCAGCAGAACCCATTTCATGCTGGCTGGGAACAGACAATCTAAAATAACGTTCAGAAATGGCAAATCAGAGAAGGGGGATGGGAAGATTTGTACAGAAGATCACAAAGTTTCAGGGGACATAGTGGGTGGGGGGAAGCAGATGTGACTTAAGGAAGTAACAGATAGGATGTAGCAGCTTCAGGTAAGGAAAAGGAAAATTCACTGACTGAGTGGTGGAGGGAAAAAAGACCAGTAACAGGAATAAACAGTACCAGAAAATGGGCAAACAAAATGCAGTGCTTGCCAAAAATAGGGTGGACAATCTCATCCTGCCTTGCTCAGTCTGAGGCATTAAGAGCAGTGTAATCCAGCTGAGCTTGATCAATGTGGAGAAATTTATAGACTCAAACAGAAAACAACTGCAGA